CAGCTCTCACTGTTGCTTCTTGACCTGCATATAGGTTTCTCAAGAGACAAATAAGATGGTCTGGTAGTCCCATCTCTTTAAGAACTGGCCACAATTTGTTGTGATCCACACAATCAAAGGCTTTATCATAGTCAATGAAGCAAAAGTATATGTTTTTCAGGAACTCCCTAGCTTTCTCCATGATCCAGCTTATGTTGGAATTGGAATGTAAACTGACCTTTTCCAATCCTGTGGCCATTGTTAAGTTTTCCAAATTTGCTGGCAAATTGAATGTAGCTTCTTAATACCTATACATAAATAGAAGTGGAATCTACAATAATTTGATGAGCTAATTTTTAATGGTGATGCAGACAAAAGTGTTTTTCAAATTATCTACTTGTTTAAAGAAAAAAAGTTTCCCCTGTCCTGTCATTTTCGACTCTAAGAAATGGTATTCATCTAAATTTCTCAGCCGAGGGAGTCAGCATTGTGTGAAGACATTTCCATGGTCATGCAGCCAGTATGACTATAGGCCAAAGTTCACAGAACACTGTTACCTTCCCACCAAATGATATCTATTTATTTACTCACATTTACATGCTTTAGAACTACTAGATTTGTAGGAGCTGGGGCAGGTAATGCGAGCTCAGTACTCAGATCTCGAACTTGTGCTGTCAGCTTTCAAAGTAACAAGTTCAGTGTCTTTAACCGCTGAGGCCTCATGCCCCCCTCCATCTACTTGTTTCTCTCTCAATAAATCTACATAGGATTTTGTTAGGTCTGCGACACTCATTCTATCCTATCCTATCTTATCTTTAATGGAATTCCACCTACTAATCTCAATTTCTAGGTAGGATGAGATCAACTTAATTCTTCAGTTATTTTAGAAAACATATTTTAAATTGCCTCAGTTGGAATACAGCCCTCTCAGGAAGAATAAAATTCTCTACCCTTCACAAAACAAAATACATTCCTTAAGGAAAAGATTCAAAAATTTACTCCTAAAGCCATTCAAAAGTGATCCTCAAAAATACTTCTTTGCCCTGCCTGTATTTAAAGAAATATAGTCCTTAGCCTAAAAGGAGTTATGCATCTCTGATTTAAGTACAAATTATCCTCAGTTAACAATGGTAATTGGGACTGGAATTTCTGTTGCCAAGTAATGCGGCTGTAAAGTTCAATATCATGTGACCACATTGCTAAGCAATGGCACTCCAAGCATTCCCTTGATTGTTAGTTGATTTGCAAGCCAGGTAATGCCAAGTGTAGTGGAGGGGGGGGGGGTTGTTGCTGAGGGAGGGAGGGAGGGTGCATGATTGGCCAATGAAGCCTTGAAATGTGCAGGGCTAGACTAGGGATGATAGCTGCTGGGCAGAGGAAGTACAAGCAACTAAGTGGAATGACTTATTATCTTGCCTGTCAAATTGACTTTGCTTGTGGAAAACCAGCAAGGAAGATTACAAGTGCAAACATCTTAAATGCAAGCAAACACAGATGTTGCAATGTTGTGACTGTGGAAATGCTGGAATAGTTGGAACTTTGAGTACCATTCATTCAGAACTATATAGTACAGCAAGTGCTGAGAACAGACATGAGCATTTAAATCATTCTTAAGCAGTAGTATTATTTCTGTATTGGTCATAAAGAGGGAGGGAACAAAACTGGCATAAATCCATCCAGTGTATTTGTGACTGAGAAATGAAGTAGGAATTTCCTGCAGCATGCATTCCATGTGGTATTAGCTCACCATGTTGGGACTCATTTTCTCTATTCATTCAAACATTCATGAACAGGAAGAAGGGGAGAAAGGACAGCAACTTGGTAGCAAATTCTATCCTCTAACAATGAACATTTGTTATATTGCACTAAAAGAGATGGAATATATATGTAGAATAGCATGATTCCTAAGTGCTTCATACTGTCATAAAAGAGGACATAAACATTTTAATCTATCTATATAATACCAAAACTCTCATTTTTTAAATCTTTTACAGTGCATCATAAGGAAACAATTTTTGAACCAAAGTATCTCAAATAGATTAACTTACAGAATGTGTCTGAAATCTGGGAACCATGACTCTCAAAGGAATTAAGTTTGGGGAAAGTCTGACTACTTCATTGCTCAGCTGCTGTTGGTGTCAGTGACTGCTGCAGTCACATGATCCTCATGTTTAACATTCCAGGGAAGTTTCCCAGCCACTCTTACAACCCTTTGCTCCCCCCCCCCCATTCCATAGCAACCACTTACCTGTCTGTTGGGGCCTCTGGTATCTTCATATGCTTTCTCTGAACTGAACAGCCCCTCTTATACAACTCCTCATAGGGGTTGTCTTTTCTGACCCACAATAGCACCACTATGGACTGATATGCATTTTCTGACCTGTTCCAACCCCACATACTCTATCCTATCCATGTGGCACTTTTTGCACATCCCCATAATCCCATGCACCCTTCCTAACTAGTGCTGCACTCTTGTGGACCCTCCCCAACCAATACAATATATCTTGTGCATGCACACACACTTCCCAACCTGCACAGCACCTTTCATGTATTCTCACCTATCCCTTGCTCTCTTCACACCTGGCAGTAGCCATTTGCTTGTCTGCTAGCCTTCAACTTGAACTTCCTGCTGGTTTCCCCAGTGACTTTCTCCTTGAAAGTCTCCAGTGAACAAAGTAAATGGAGAAGCTAGCAGAAATTCTAGGGAGGAAAGGAAGGAAAATAATGACAGAATGACTGGGAGGAAAGAACAGAGAGTAGGGAAGGCAGAGGTAATTTCAGGGAGCGAAGGGGAGAGGAAAGAAAAAAGGAAGGGAGAGGGACAGTGATGGGATTCAAAAATTTTTACTACCAGTTCTGTGGGCATGGCTTGGTGGGCATGGCAGGGGAAGGATACTGTAAAATCTCCAGTCAGAGGTGGTATTTGCCTGTTCTCCGAACTACTCAAAATTTCTGCTACCAGTTCTCCAGAACTGGTCAGAACCTGCTGAATACCACCTCTGGATAGGTAGAAAAATGAAATGAAGAGTTGAAGAGAGGGAAGAAGGAAGAGGCAGGAAAGGGGAAGAATATTTTGAAGTTTCAATTGGTATAGATGTGGACGTGTGAGAGGTTCACACTCTGTGAACTGACTGGTTGCTGTTTTGCTTCTGGTGCAATTTAAGGTTATCATCATTGAAGCTGTGCATGGCATGGATACAAGCTACTTTTAAAAACTATCTTACCACAATGGGACTGGCCCACCCCATCTGCACTGGCAGAGGAGGCATGCCACAGATCCTGTCAGTTAAGGAATTTCAGCTTTCAGAGTCCAGGACACGTTGTTGTGACTCTTGCCCTTTGGAACATGTTACTCCTGAGGTGACATTGGCTCCACTCTTCTCACCTTCTATAAGGACTTGAAGATCAGGCTCTGTCAGATGGTTGAGGCCCCAATAGTGCAGTATCACACTGGAGGTTATTGATAAATTAAGATGCAATCTCACCGCCCTCCGTCATCTTTTAACTATAATTTATCTTTGATTATAACTCTATTTTTATTGTTTTGGAAATATTTATATTATGGTTTTAATGCTTTTAATGCCACCCAGGATCACTTCAAAACAAGATGGTTAGAAAATAAATTGAATAAATAAATAAGTAAATAAATAAATGAAAGTAAAAAAGAAAAGGTGGAAGGCAGGGAGAGAGACAGCGAAGGAGGGAAGGAAGGAAAGAAGATAGTGACAGACAAAACGAACAGAGGGAAAGAGAGAGGAAAATTTCTGATGTTTCCTGCCACATTTCCCCAAGGAAATTCAATCAGGAACCAAGACGGAAGTTGGAAGTCATTCCTGCTCACCCCTTTTCGTCCACCTGTGGTCATTCAATTTCTCTATTTAGATAAAGAATTATCCCTGAAACAATGACACAATAGGGCATGGATTATCTAGTAAGCATATAAAATAAGAGATGTACAAAAAGTGGCAATACACCTTTTACAAGTGGCAAATTTAAATATTTAACTTTTCATGCTGATTAATAACAGATTAATATAAAATTAAGATGGTGTGCTGATTAAAAATATATAAGGGTCAGTGAAATATGTCTTAGAGAAATATTTTGGTTGCAATATTTTCTGTATTCATCTTTATTATGTGATAGCTTATCTTGGTATGTGAAATATAAAGCTTCTGGCTTGACTGAACATGTGCAGAACATAGCAATGACAAATATGTTTTGTTAATAAGGAAAAAGGAAAAATACCAAGAGAAACAATCAAACAATTACCAACATGCCCAATTATGTAATCCTGGAAATTCTTCCTACTGCCTGCCTATAAAACCAAGGAACAGTTTGAACTGCCTCTCACTAAAGGCCAACTTGGCAAAAAATTGGGATAAGGAAGAGCACTTTACTCCAACTTTTTTGGGCTTCAGTCCTCAAAAGTCTAAACCAACATAGTCATTCAAAACATTTGAACGGCAAGAATTTATTGTCTGCAGCACATATTCCTTAGATTTTCTCTTTCCTCTTTTTTATGTTGGTTTTTATTTTAATGTATGATGTTGAGACTCAATGAAGACACACACACACACACACACACACACACACACACACACAGAAGTAGAGCAAAGAAGTAGAGCACACAGAAGTAGAGCACACAGAAGTAGAGCAAAGAATATACAGAAAATAATTTTAGCTAAGTTAATGACAAAATAACAACTTATGATTTAAACAAGGATTCTTACAGTCTTCAAAACCTTCATTGGGCTGTAATTAACTTGCAAAAGCACTTTTTGCTATAATCCTGCCTACTTTGCAATATTGCCTTGCCTCTTGCAGGCTGCATTTTTAGCCTTGTTTTACATACTATTTACATAGTAGAAAAACAGTTTAAGAAACTGCAACAACTTTTCATGAAAGACCTAATCAATCAAGATGAGAACTCGCTCTATCCATGTAAAATTTGCAATACCTTCTGAAGACACTAATAATAAAAATTAAATTTATAAATATACTTATGCAAACTTCAAATTAATTTACTGAAAAGTTCAACTGATTCTCTTACCAAAATCAGTTCTGCAATTCTCTGATGGGACATAGGTGTCACGATCAGTTGGATTCAGTTGTTGGTATTGCAAGGGAGTTTTAACTATAAAAGGTGAATAATAAAACAAGACTTCTATTATTTATTTTTAAATCAAATTTAAGCACTGCCTATCTCACTATCACTAAGTGATTATTGTGAATTATAAATTTTCATTAAAGAAATAAAGAAACCATCATTCCAAAACAGTCATGTCCACGTACCATAGGTAGCCTCTGGTGATACAGGAAATGATGGAGTAAGTGGAACTGTTGTATTCTTGCTGGGTGAGAAAATTTTTCCATCTTCTTCATTTGGGTTTTCCAAATAACTTACAATACCCATCTGGAATGTAAAACAGGATTACAGGATGGAAAACCATTTGTCGTAACCATATACAAACTTCATAGATAGCTCTATTTATTCTAGTCAGTTGCTAGTTTTAATTAAAAAATAGATTTATGAAACCGTTGGTTAACATTTAAATAGACAAACAAGAATTAGTCCAAACACCAACTTTATAATTTTCTAAAAACAATGGAATGGTTTCCAACTTCTAAGAATTTGTACTAAACCCTATAAATAGTGCCCTTTCAAAATAAAGCAATACTTTAGAAAGAACCATTTGTTTACTCTTTCCACTTCCATAATGAAATTGAGTCCCAAAACACCTGCCAATATCAAAGATTTCCAAGGCAAAAGACTACCACAGTTTTTCAATCTGAATAGAAGATAATATCTGCAGCTCAAGGTTGAATTTTAGAGTCCTTAGTACTCTCTGTGCTTGGTTGTTTCCTTGAAGATGTTTTATCACCGAACTAATTAGATAATGAAACATCAGCAACCAAGCAAACTCAGAAAGCATCAAGGTCTCCACAATTTTTAAAATGAAGATATTTATGAAATCTATCAATATATATATAGTATGCCATATGTATAATGTGGAAAAGGTAAATAATAGAATAATAAAGAAGAGATCATAGAGATCATGCAGCTCCTTAGTGCAGGAATCCCCAGACCATCCCAGACAAATGATTGTCCAATGTTTACTTAAAAACTTTCAGAGATAGAGTATTAATGACTTCAGGAGAAAGCCTGTTCCCCTAATTAATATCTCTCATATTCAGGAAATTCCACCTTGTTTCAAGCTTTGATCTTGTTTTCTAAAGTTTACACCAACCGATTTTGTCTTAGGTTCAGGCACTAATTAATATCCATAATGTCTTCTTTGTGATACCTCTTCAGATATTGGAAGACTTTTATCTCATGGTAGCCTTCTAATTCTTCTCAGAACTAATAATGCCAATCCAGGTATTATATCTTTATATCATTTCTCACTATTGAACAGTATTTTGTTCACGTCCAATATTCAATATATTAAAATCCTTTGGATAGATATCATAACTCTAACTCTAACCCTAACCTAATGCTAACCCTTTAAAGTATTTGCTCTTTGTCTGTTCCTTCTTATTTTATTAAAATGTCTTCATGAAAAAACTGACATGACCTTATCAGGCATCTTGGGGTTTGGGGTCACATTTGGAAGTTTGAAAGTGCTGTGACAAACTGGTTGTCAGTGTAGTCAGTTATAAAACATTACTTGAATTAAAATGGATGCAGAAGGGAAGGTGAATGCACACGCATGTACAATTCAAGGTTTGCCCTAGTTGTCTTTGCAAAAATGCATATACATAGACAACATCTTTGATAAAACTGTCAGCAAAATATTTGTGCATGCATTTGTGTGCAAAGAAACTTGGCAAATCTTTGAAGCAACAATGCAACCTTTCTTAAGAGTGTTCCACTTTAATGCTATGTGCAAGGTGATACTTCATTTAACCAATATGCTTCATGAATTGTGTCTTTTGAATGCTTTGTGCAGCTCAGCAATCCATTTTCAAATTTACCTTTATTCTTCTTTTAGTCTGGATTGGTTTGTACATTTTCAAACAAAGTGGTAGCTCTACCTATTTGCCATTTTTATATTCTGAAAATGCCTGAAGGGCACACATGAAACTCAGAAATCTACTTGGAAATAAAAATGATTTTGGAGGCTGGCACACTCTTAAGAAAGATTGCACTGTTTGCAAGCATCTAAATTCCCATTTCATTTTTTATTAATTAAAAAATAAATTAGTAATGCAGGGAGCTAAGTGTCAAAGAATATACTGAAAAGCATTCTATTAACAGAAGAAAACAACTAATATGTAATGGTAAAGGTTCCCTTCACACATACATGCTAGTCATTTCCAGCTCTAGGGGGCGGTGCTCATCTCCGTTACAAAGCCGAAGAGCCAGAGCTCTCCGAAGACATCTCCATGGTTATGTGGCCAGCATGACTAAATGCCGCACAGAACACTGTTACCTTCGCACCAGAGTGGTCCCTATTTTTCTATTTGCCTTTTTACATGCTTTCGAAGAGCTAGGTTGGCAGAAGCTGGGACAAGTAACAGGAGCTCACTCTGGTAGGTGGCACTAGGGCTTCAAACCGCCGAACTGCCCACCTTTCTGATCAACAAGGTCAGCGTCTTAGCCACTGAGCCACCGTGTCCCTTAACTAATATGTATTATATGCTTTTTTAAAAGTATCAGAAGTTGCATACAAATATGTATGCAATAACTTGGCAAAGAAACAGCCTTGTACATTATATCAAAATTTCATTCTTCTGTACTTTTAATTTGATATGCAACTTCATTCCCATTCTGGCAGGTCAAGAATCAGGGTTACGTTTGGTGATTTTCCTGCAGACATGTCATTACATAAACTAGATAACATCATCATCAGTACTAGTAACGAGTAGGGTTTGCTCTCAGTTTAACTTCTAATGGTTTCCCTGTCAGGGTTTTGACCAAAAAGACCAAACACCTTTCCACCAGCAATCAACACTCCGATGTGCATAGATTAAGATCAAGATTAATATCAAACCAAGCTAACAGTAAACAGTCCAACCAAAGAAACTCCAAGACCACTCCCACCAACCCTGATGGGGCAAGCCTTGGTCAAGTACACTAATTGGTGTAATGAAACATCTGCAACAAAAAAAAACAAGCAAGCTCAGAAACCACCAACGACCCCCTCATTTCAACCCTGAAGTACAAATATTCCTCTTTATTGGTAACAGATTATTATTGGTTGCAATAAAAAGAGCAACAGCATCCACAGATCATAGTTTAAAATTTGAAATATTTTTCACTTTTTTTTAAATGTTACTATTTTAAAAAAATAAGTTGCCAATTTATTTTAATCATTTCTCCCCTACCTCTTTGGTTTTTACTGCAGAGGCTAAGAAGTCCTGTCCTAAAGAATGGTCAGGGACATCAGATTTTGTCCATCTATACTTTCTGCATATTGACTGTGTTGAGATATCATTGTCATAAGATTCAGGATTTAACTTCTTGTTTTTTCCATTTAATATGCCATCATCTTGAAAACCTGAAGATAAAAATGGATAATAAAAATATTTAAATATTTTGAACTATTATATTAATCTATATAAGAAATGGAAATCTCTTTAGAAAGTATTGATAATAACATATCAACTCAAAATCTTCCTAAATTATTAAAAAAAAATCTATAAGCAAATTCTGAACAATCCAATAATCTTTGGAATAACAGAAGCAATTAAAAAGAACTAAGACAGGTAAAGCGCTGAGTCTGATGCTTTATCAAGTGGATTCTATACAATTTTTGAAGATCAATTACTTTTTCTGATGAAGGACTTAATCAATTCTAAATTTTATAGGAAAAATCTGTATTGGATTTATGGAAAGATGCCTACATATCTTCAATACCCAAAAAAGAGCAGAACTTAACTTCTGTGAAGAATTACATGGCTATTTTTCTTCTTCACAATTATAAAATCTTTACATTTATTTTAACTGAAAGACTAAACAAAGTTTTACGAGACTACATACATGAAGATCAGTGTGGTTTTCTACCCAGAAGACAACTAAAAGATAATAAGAGGGTAATGTTGGATATCTGGCAGTCGGCAGAGTTAGCTTGCATACTGCATTCTAACCACTAAGATTTTGGAATTAATTATAAAGAATCTTTCCCATGAAAAATGCTTTTGTTTTGAAAAATAATAAGATTTTTAAAAATGGACACTAGATGGAATTAGAGCAAATGAAATACTGTTTTATATTAAAGGGTAAGAACATTTAAACTTGATTTTCAGTTACAAAAGGAAGAAAAATATTTTAACATTGGACATATTGAAGGATTTTTTAAAAAACATTTAATTAGCTTATCAAAATATAAAATACAAAAAAGAAAGAAAATAATGGGAAAATAGGAGAGGAAAATGTGTAAGGGAAAAGGAAAAAGAAAAGCATTTAAGGATATTTTTGAACAATGGATTCAGAAGTTAATTTTAATAGTGTCTGCAACTATAGATAAACTAAGTCTAAAATGTTATGGAAGAGGAGTATGTTCTACTTAGCAAGACAGAGATTGAATTAAAAGTGGATCTTTACAAGAATGACATTAAAAAAATTAAATTGCAAATATAAAAATTGGCTGACGTCTTAATAATTAAAAGGGATATATAACCAACCAAGCAACCAAGGGAGTTATTTGTATAATTCTTCTAATTGGATTTACAAAAGGGTCTTATTTAGGTTTTGAAGAATTTTGTGAAAAGGAACAAAAAAAAGTAAGAAAACCAACAATATTATTCAAACAGATTAAAATTTAGGATTGTTAGAAATAAAAGAAAGAAATATAAAGTTGGATCCAGCCCACGGGGTACTTAAATCTGGCCCATGAGGCCAGCCTGGAAATAGCAAAGGTCCGTGGTGCCTCTGGCAGCCAAAACAGGGGTGCTCCTCCTACAGCACCTTGCCAGCCAAAACAAACTGTTTTGGCTGGCAGGGTGCTGCAGGAAGCGTCAGTCTCATCTCCCCGCCCTCCCTCAACCCGCCCCAGCCTGCAGAGAAGTACAATGCTGATACGGCCCTCGAAGAAATCCAATTTGACAAATCCAACTGCATACACAATGCAGTTTATATAATTAAATACAGAATGGAACAATGATAGTTTTTTTTCAAATATGTTTCTGAGAGATCTGAATAGGAGGAATTTTCACCTATGGGCTTTTTATTGTCATCTGTCTGACCAACAATTATGCCAACAGAATATGACATTAGAGAAATAATTGGTTTGAATAGATTTTAAGTTTTGACGCTCACTTAGTGGATTGGATTGGTTATTAGTTGTCTATCAGGATTTTTAATAATTTACTTTTTATTTCTGTTCACCACTCCAAAGTTCCTTGAGTGGATGGGTGTTTACAGGAGGGAGGGAGGGAGTGGAAGGAGGAAGGGAGGGAGGGAGAGAGAGAGAGAAAAGAGGCAGGGGGCACAATTCTTAGTACAGAAACTAATTTAAGCCAACAAATGGTACAGTTTTTCGGTACAGTTTCTTTACACCTAATGATTATTATACAAAAAGAGCACAGAATAACAGGGTTGGAAGAGACCTTGGAAGTCTTCTAGTCCAACCCCTGCTCAAGCTGGTGACCCAATACCATTCCAATTAATGGCTGTCCTGTCTCTTCTTGAAAACATCCAGTGACAGAGCACCCAAAACCTCTGGAGGAAATATGAATAGTGAATTATTTAGAGTTCACTATTCATATTTGCAGCAACCAGAGCACCCTCAGAAACATATTGCTGAAATAGATTCTTGGCGGCTCAAGATATCCATTGTACTTTATAAATCTTCAATTCCCCCTGTTTTTCACCTTTGGTCTTTAGTTGATATCATCAGGATTAGCTGGTGGTTTATTTATTTTTTATTAAATTTCTAGGAGTCCAATGATAAAATAAGTCTGGGTGGCTTTAGAAGTTTAAATGCTAAATGATAACATTATATAAAAAGAACATATTAGTTCAATGAGGACATATTAAAAACTTATCTCTCCAACATCATTCTCAAAATAACTGGGCTCACCAAAAACTCCAAACCAAGGGAAAGAGCTAAGTTTTCAGGCCTGTATAGAGAGTCAATAAAAATATCCTAGGGAATGTTGTTCTGAGAACTGGGACTACAATAGAAATGCCCTACTTGACCAGAGATAGGATCCACAAGATGATATTGCTTAATTGATTGTTGAAATATAGCATCAATGTACCAACCTCCCTCCCGGGCTCAAAAACAGTTTGAAAATCCGAAGTGTCCCTCCCAATTGCAAAATGTGAGTTGCTTCTGCCAAAAATATTATTTGAATAGTAAGTTTTAACACGGCATGATATTTGTCATGGGCCATTCAAAAAAATAGTTGTGAAAAAATGCTTGAGAGGAATAGCTCAGAAAGTCTTAGACTAGTTGCATAATGTCACAACTCAATCACGGCACTGCAGATATTAATTCTTTCAAATTTAAAAAGATAATAATTGATTGATAATTTGTCTTTTCCTTCCTTTCTTGTCACCATTTCTTAGGAAGCATCTAGCAACAAAAATACGAAAGTAAAAAAAAGGGGGGGGATGCTAAGTACGTAAATGCTGTGATTGGTACACCACGTTCTGGAAACTCATTTTTCCAGGCTTAGAATTCAATTTTCCACAATTAGAATGTGTAATATAATGAAGCATAAAAGCCAATCTTGGAAGGCTAAACTTCTTTTCATATGAGAGGTGGAGAAAAATCAGTTAATTAAAAAAAATGAATGGCTGTTCAGTTTTCTCTAAACATTCCAAGGTCTATGAAAAGGAGGCATTCACACATACTCCATTGCTCAAGATGGTATTTTAACAGTTAGTCATACTATTAACTATCAATTTTTTTTGTAGAAGAAAAGAGAAATCACATGAATATAGTATTTAAAACAACTCACCCTGCTGAGATGAATTTATGTTAGAGACTTCAGTTTTCACACGGAACCTAGAGCCCCTCCCAAGCCTTTCTTCATCTCTTTGATGACTGACCAAGTCATTCAGTTGATCTGAATCCCTGGTGGCAGCACCGATGCGGGTAGGAATCGGCTCAAATGTTGGGTCCAGGTCCAAAATTAGTCTGTTTAGCTGTTCAATTGACTGATCAATATCCAAAGTTGGTGAAGATGGCAAAACTCCAGCACTGCTTCTTGTATTCTGTTTCAATTCATTGTTATTTCCACCATTTTCAGAGAGAAATCTTAATTTAGAAACCTCTGGTTCAGATGTTTCAACCACATTACTAGAAGATGATATACTCCCAAGCCTCCTTTGTACCTCACTTCTACTGCTGGAACTTTGGAGAAGTGTATTTGGAACTCTGGCTTGATTTTCCAGGTTGCCCACATTTGCAACTATATTATGAATACCAAATCCAACTTCATTCTCTGGAGTATTGATATACTGATTAGCAATTACCATTTGTTGTTGGCGCACCCATGTCTGGGTTGAATAGCTACTGGCATTATAGGATGGATGGGTGGAAACTGGAGGATTCTTTGACAGCTGCTGACAACTTTTTGTATCAATCCTTCCAAAGGACCTTTCATACATAGAGTCAAAATTAATTCCCAGATCTGCAGCCAGAATGTTATGATGTTCCTCTCCAGTATTACTTCCAAAGCCATCTGACAGGGGGGAATTCTGATAACTCTTATGGCAGCTCAAATTCCCAAGGTGGTTAGACTGCTGACCTTCAGAGGAAGACAATGTTCCAAAACTATCCAAGCTGTGAAGATCATAAGTGGGCATCTCATCATCTAGAATATCTGTCTCCCTTTCCTTGTGTTTGACACCTCCATTCACATGAACTTGGGCTGGCACTATGTGGCAGGTCCCACTATATTTGCTTTGGGCATCAGTCATTTCCATGAGCGGAATGATTGAGTTCTCTAGGCCAAAGCCACTAAGCAATTGATCAAGTTCTTCCTTTTCCTGGGGACTCAAGATTCGTTTTATTCCTGGAGGATGTTCCTCAGTTTTTTCTGTCCTTACAGAAGCTGTAGAATGTCCTGAATCACTACTCACAGATAGGGTATGATCACTATGATCAGAGTTATTATTTGTGGCACCTTTGATTCTGCTGGGAATGCTGGCATCAGACGAGCTTTTTTTCCTCACCTTAGCATAAAGGCTGCCATCAATCGGACCATGGGAGTGCAGCACTGTAAAGGAGAAATGAGAATCAAAATATAATAACTATATGAAGAAAAAATATTACAGTAAAAATGGGGTGGGGAAGAGAGATTTATATAGTAGTAGAAACAGGGCATGAGATAGTTAATTCTGTCAACCTTAATACAATTGCTATAATTTATTTACATTAGTGCTTCCACTTTTTGCGCAGAACACAATTTCCATCTTTGACTAGTTTCACAAAATAGATTGCTGTGATGTAATAACAAAGGTAAACATTTATTGGCTCCATAATCATACAATTGTTAGTATTGCAGAATGAATAATAGCACAGTATCACCAAGACCAATTTGATTCAAAAGCTTCTGTGGGAAAAAGGAGTTGCAGAGCTTGGGGGAAGAGTTAAATGAGGGATTAATCTGAAGTCCCAGTAGCCACAAGCAAAATAACTGCAACTTCTAATTGACCTTTATCTAACCCCAAGCAGATGCTAACCATTAGTTGACAAGATTTTTATGCATAGCATGACTAGCACCGATGCGGGTAGAAATCGGCTCAAATGTTGGGTCCAGGTCCAATCAGTTTAACTGGACCTTCACTTGTGGATCTGATCTTTCATACTTGGTAACATGATTCCTTTCCCCACCCCTCCATTTTCTGTTCATTTATCTTTTACCCCTGAATTAATTTAAATTAGATAAAACAGGAGAGAAAAAAGGAATTGTGTGATACTTTTGGGGAATCTACAATACCAGCCAATCACTGCAGAAAATACAATTCTAGGGTATTTAGGGAATAGGTAGTCCTCAACTTATATTCTTTTATTTAGTGACTTTTAGAAATTACAATATCACTGAAAAAAGTGACTTCTCACCATTTTTCACAGAACTGTTGCAATATCCCCATGGTCATGTGATCAAAATTTGGCCATTTGGCAACTGGCTCATAGTTATGATGTTTGCAGTATCCCAGGCTCATATGATCACCTTTTGTGATCTTCTGGGAAGCAAAGTCAATAGGAAGCCAGATTCATTTAACAACTGTTTTACTAACTTAATAACTGTGGTAAGAAAGGTTGTAAAAGGGGGCAAAATTCACTTAACAATTAACTGTCTTGCCTAGCAACAGAAAATGTGGGCTTAATTGTAGTTGTAAGTTTTTATTTCTGCAGAACTATTGCTCATTTTTCTGAATTACCAATATGGGTATAACTTCTAAAATGGCAGGCAGTAAACAGACTTGATCTTGCCATGTCAGTATTTCAAATTTCTTTTCAAACTAAGCCTTTCAAAGAATATCAGATGCTGATATCGTACTACAGTTAAATAATATTAGCTTATTTCACCTGTATTTGATAATAGACACAATGGTGGAATTTCCATTGGAAGCAACACAGAGAAGTATAAATAATTTTCTTCCCCAGTACAATGTATACATCATTCTGTATCAGAAGAAGCCAACAGATCATCACTGCCATATTATTGATGATAAAATTATGGGCTTGTCCAGATAGTGCTGAATTTCAAAAAGACTATTTATGATATAAATTAATCCTATGTATCTAAATAACATGGGGGGGGGGGGGACTACTGGCCTACAATGTCCTCACAACCTTATATATAAATCTGCAAATCTTAGAATTTCAGCCCTATATATTTAAGCTACATGCATAGAAGCCAATTCCAGTCCTCCCTAGTCAACTGGCATCAGCAACCAGGCTTCCTCATATCTCTTACTAACATTACATATTTAGGTTTCATGCTTACCTGTCTATGGGTCCAAGTGGATTACTGGGGGTGGAGGGAAGGCTAACAATGAATTAGTCTAAGCAAAATTGTCTTCTTAAAGAAACACACAAACATCAAGGACATATAAAGACTAATCCCATATTCATCCTCCAAATATCTTGACATATTATTCCAATCCCCAGGAACCAGTCACAAACAAATCTATTTCTGACAAAGGTAAACAACAGCATTAAGGCCATATTGGGTTTCTTTTATACCAAAGAAAGAAAATAATATTTGTGCCATATTTTTTTCTAAAACTAAATATATTTCTCAAGTTTGATGTGGGTACCAAGTATATGCTCCACGATATGTGCATACAGTGATTTAGATATCATGTGTATACAATATAATTGCCTTGAGAGAGCTATTCCAAATGTGTTCCTTTATTTTAAGTGTAGAACTCATTTAGAATCTCGGAAAAATCTTCCTAAAATTTAAGGTTTGTATCTGGTCAATGTCAACTTTTTGTGACCATGTAGATATGTTACCTCCATGGCAATCTTTGTATTGCTAACTATGGCATACAAAACCTTTATCAGACCAATTCTTGAATACAGCTCGTCCACCTGAAATCCATACTGTATGTATATCGGACATTAACACAATCGAGAGGGTTCAGAGGCATTTCACAAAAAGAGTACTCCACTACTCTCTACTCACAATAGAATCCCTTATGCCACTAGGCTTGAAATTTTGGGCTTGGTCAATTTGGAACTGCACCACCTGCAGTCCAATCTAAACATAGTACACAAATTGTCTGCTATAATGTCTTACCTGTCAATGACTTCTTAAGCTTCTACCATAATAATAGATGGGCAAACAATTGATACAAACTCAAGATAAACCACTTCAAACACGATTGCAGAAAATATGGCTTCAGCAATAGAGTGGTCAACATCTGGAATGCTCTACCCGACTTCATTGTTACAGCCTCAACCCCTCACAGCTTCAATCTCAAACTGTCTTCCATGGACCTCAACCCATTCCTAAGAGGTCCATAAAGGGGGCATGCAGAAGCACACCAGTGTGCCTACCGACCCTATCTTACTGTCCCCATTTATCTGTATTTACTTCCTTCTTCATGTTTATGTTCATACTTAAAGCTGCTATCTTGTACATGTTTGACAAATAAATAAATAAATAAAATATCTCCTTAATCTGGTCTTTCAGGTCATGTACATTTGCTTTTTCTTGCCTAAGTGTAAAACCTTTTCTCAACATTGACTTGTACTTTGTTGGATAGGGCTCGAGTCTGTCAAGATATTCTGGATCTTGAGCCTATATTAGGATTACAGTTTACAGATTAACAAAGTCATCCAGTCCAACCCTACACCATTTCTGACAAATGGTAGTCCAATCTCTTCTTGAAAGTTTCAAGTGATGAAGTTCCCACAACTTCCGAAGGCAAGCTGTTCCATTGGTTGATTGTTCTGTCAGAAAGTTTCTCCTTATTAAAATCTCTCTTTCTTCAGTTTCCATCCATTATTCCTTGACTGGCCTACAGGTGCTTTAAGAAAATAGCTTGACCCCTTCCTCTCTGTGGCAGCCCCTCAAATATTGGAACAGTGCTATCATGTGTCCCCTGGTCTTCTCTTCACTAGAATAGCCATTCTAAAGTTTTGGCTTTTCTCCCACCTTGGTGTCATCTGCAAATTTGATGAATTTCCCTTTTAGCTCCTCATCTAAATCATTTATGAAGACGTTGACGAATACTGGGCCTAACAAAGAACCTTGCAGTATCTCACAGCATACTTCCCTCCATGTAGATGCAGTTCCATTGAGGAGTACATATTGTGTGCGGTTGGTCAGCCAGTTATGAATCTATCTGGTGGTGATGCTATCTTACCAAAGGTAGATTACAGTCTACTTTGTCAAATGTCTTGCTGAAATTTAAGTATACAATGTTCAGAGATTTCGCTGCTCCACTAATTTAGTCACATTGTCAAAGAATGCAGTAAGATTTTTCTGGTATGATCTGTTTTTGACAAACTATATTGGCTTCCAACAATAACTTCACTTGTTTCTAGTTGTTCATGGAGCCATTGCTTCATTATCTTTTCCAGGATCTTCTCAGGTATTGATGTCTGGCTAATTGGTTGTAGTTTCTTGGATTCATTTTTTTTTTCCTTTTTTGAAGATGGGGAAAATATCCACTGTTTTCCAGGGCTGTAGTAGTTCCTCAGTACTCCAGGAACTCTGAAAAATAAGATTCAGTGTTTCCAAGATCACATCTGATAGATCCTTCAGAACTCTGGGGTGTAATCCATCTTTTCCAGTGATTTGAACTCATCTCAGGTGGATAGGTGCTGTTTTACCATATTCTTGCCTATTTTGACGTGTATTTCTAATATGTCTTTTATGGTAGTGCTTTGGTAGATTTGACTGATTTTTTTTCCTTTTGTGTAAAGACAAATGTAAAGAATGAATTAAGCACTTCTGTTCTTCCCTGCTGTCTCTCATCTCCTTGCAATCTTCCCCTATTAATGAATTGTTTCCTTGATTTTTTTCTTGCTTTTTGTATGTTGAAAAAAACTTTTTAAAATTGTTTTTGACATTTGTTGCAAATGACTTAGTTCATTTTGAGCCATAGCTTTCCTGTCTTCATCTTTGTAAAATTTGAGCTATATTCTGGTATTCTGCCTTAGTTATGTGTCCCTCTTTTCATTTTTTTACTAGTCCTTTTTGTCTTTCAGAGTTGTTATAATGATTTATGTGATATAGTTCTCCAGAAGAACCATAAGAATTAGGGTGCATATACGTTTGTGCACTATTGGATATTATTTTTCCAGTGCACTGCAAAACTTTCTCCCTAGCCCACTTAACATTTTCCCCTCTGCATTTTTGGAAGTGTCATGACTTTGAGAATCAGACTTAACTGCAACACAGACTACTTCTGGCATTTAATTGCCCCTCCCCTTTCCTCCTTACATTCCTCCTGAGATCTCTATACTCCCACTGAAGTGTACAGCTCAGGAGCAAGCAGTAAGATACTGACCAGCAAGGCTTAAGGAAAGATTGGCAGAACTCAGTAACGAGGTGATTTAAAGCTGAAAGAGACAGTTTTCCCTGGCTCATTTGGGAATCTGGCTTCATGCTGTATGATTCGTTTCTGCAAACCAGTTCTTTACCACTGTGGCATGTTAATTGATTAAGACTTCATTTCTCCATTGATATGGCATCATAAATTTTTGTTTGGACAGCTTGACCTGGAATTTGCCTTTGTTCAGTTAAGTTCTTAT